CCCCCACCTTTGGTGGTGTTCCCCACTTTGCCCCCGGGGCTTCCAGTCCATATTCTGCACAGATGTTCCTGTACACTATGCCCGCCACTTGGTTATGTCGTTCCATGTACGACATAACCAAGTGTATATATATATATATATATATATATATATATATATTTATATATATATATATATATATATATATATATATATATATATATGTGTGTGTGTGTGTCTTTTATGCATATATTGTATTGTTGTAGGCTTATTTTTAACTTTTGTGAAAATAATAATAAAAAAAAATAATAATCCACCTCTCTTTATTGTCCTGACTTCGTGAAGCCCTTTTTTAAATATTGAGAAGCTGAACTGTTCTGCGGCTAAAGCCCCAGGTGGCATTACTGGTCAGTTGGTCATAGTGTTTCACAATTTAAGTTTCAGACACCGCTCATGTCACAAGAAGTTATGGAGTGAAAATAGTCTCAAAATATCTGTGCGTAAAATGATTTGTGATCTCTGCACATTTCATTCATTTTACTTTGCAGCAGGGACTTTGTCCAGAACACCAGAAAGTAGACATGAGGTTCATGACTATTAGCGGCATGTTAGCCATGCTATTTATTTTATTTCTTTTTGGGAATACAAAATTTCTTTAAAAATAATCACCCTTTTTATCCCCCATGATCTCTTCATAAAACGTGATGTTCTTTGAAACTTGGCCTTATTCACTCTGTGATATAATTTATGTGGAAGTCCCAGGAACATACATGAGAACAAAACATCCTATTACATCAGAAAGATGCCACCACAACTGATTACACAACATTCAAAAAACACTGATTTCGTGATTTATACATTCTTGCCTGATACATTTAGATACAGCTATTATTTTACAGCATATTCTTTCCTCCTTCAGTGAAATTGAATGAAAATAATTTCATACTTAGCACTGGGATGATACAGATGATAGATCTTCGCTGGATATGAGCTCTTACAGTTATGATTGGAGCGGGGTACTTCCTGCACAGCTCACATTGGATGATTTCACATATAAATTTCTGTTATTAAAGTCATCCCTACTTTCAATAAAAATGGGGGACAAATGTCGAGCTTGCCCTGCGTAATGTCTTACAGGCTGATTCATAATATTATTTTCTGCTTATGTTGTAGTCTGTGTTTTAAGTTACAATGTAGGTGCTTGGTGCTTCCTTCTCCCCGGCTCTAGTGACGAACACATGGCACACTGCTTCCTATGTGCCAGCTAAAGGTTGCCTACGCACCATCATCACAGTAAACTTGAAATCCTTTCCTGTCAGACAACACCGAGGGAAAATTTCATACATACATACATACATACATGGGAAGCGCCTGATACCCAAACGCTTTGTTACAGCCTCTCGTTTTCTGCCGTTGCAGTATTAACTCTTCATCTCTACTGTGTAGTACTGAAAAGGACTTTAAGGGCTGAAGACCCGATTTTTAATTTTTAATTTTATTTTTTTTGCATTCTACTGGATGATCCGAACAAAGACGGTGAGTTGTTATTATTACATCCAGCGCCATTTGCAGACAGGTAGCTACCCCAACTGTCCCAGCATAAACGCTGGACTTATCCAGAAAAATCTATTTTTACTTGCTAGACTGAACGTCTAACAAAGCTGGGATTTACAGCAGTGTGGCTTGTCGCAGTTATATGAATGTTGCCTTAAATTAGTGAAACTGGAGTGTCATAAAACCTATGACGTGTTGAATTGTTGCCATTTTTATTTCTTAGCCATCATTGCAAAGATGTTTTGCCCTGGCCGGGTTGTGCAACCACAGTCTGCACATTTACATGACTGATACAGTAGATATTGCAGTGAATCCATTATACATCGGAGCAATATCATGTCTTAGATTAATCATGGAGACGTGATTGGGTGAATCCAGCAGCAGTGTATATATATTGTTCCAATCCTAATACCATTTTAATAAATATATAGCATAGAGTAATTTATCCTGTCATTTTTTTTGTCTTTTTAAGTTTGGGATTTAAACAATAATATATGTTCATGGATGATATTTTAGACCCAGATACAACCACATAATTGCCTGCACACCAAAGCTACACATTATAGTTACAGTATGTGTTGTGTTAAGTTTTATGTTTAAATTATACATGCAAATACATTCAGGCTCTGTATGTCTTTATATCTTGTCTAATACAGTAAGTTTTTATAAAGTAAAATGGTGGTAAGATAAAGTCATTAAGAAAAGTTGTTTCAATCCTAATACCATTTTAATTTAAATTGATTTAAATTTTATTTATCCTTTATTGCTCACTCTTGTTTGATTTTGTCCAGGTCTGTATATTAGTATAAATCACAGGATATTTGTTGTTCCTTTTACTATTAAATGAAATTAAATTTAAAACAAAAACCTGGATGAATACTTTGTGTTCCATTGTAAGATGTTTAAAAGCCTTGAACTTTTTTGAAAGGCCTTTGGCCTGTGAGAATTGCACCTTAACTTTGTTTTGTGTATCTGCATCATCTGCCCGGAAAACCAAAATTAAGCCGGTCTTAATTTGTGATGAAGAAAATTGTTTCGATGGCCACAAATGATCCCTGGGCCACACTTTGGACACCCATGCTTTAAAACTATGATCTTTTCACATTGTCTAAAGCAGATGCAGTCTGTTGTACCTTTATTTAATACAGACAGTTGTGTAACAGAAACAAAATCCCACTGTCTACTTTTGTTGAAGAAATCTTCACCAAAATTACAAATTACCAGGAGCCAATGGGGTAGGACATGTTATAAAAACAGAAAACAGGGGGAAAAATTCTGATCCACTTTTTTTATAAAGTTTGAATAGCCTAGTAAAGTGGAGAGATAACCTTATTGTTTCAGTCCTTTTAAGTTTTCCAGCATTTGCTAACTGTCTCAAGTCAGAATTTGCAATACATAGTTTGGTATTTTGGTATAGTGTGAGCAGGACTTCCCCAAATTATTTTTCAATATCCATTATGTGCCTTTTTTTCTAAGAGTAGAACATCTAATAATCAATTTATAAGCTGAAATATTGAGGTCTCCTTAATATGGTTCACATTTAAGGACTGCAGTATAATCAACCAGAATACGCATGTTGTTTGTACACACTAATATATCCTCTTGCCAAAGTCCTACCGTTACTTATTGGTAATGCCATTGTCTTTTCTTCTTTTACTAATGTGATGTTTCAGAAACAGGCCTTCTTTCAAAAGAAAACCGCCTTCTTTTGAAAGAAATTGCAACAGGGCTTTATGTGGTTGGAGACCAGGAGCCCAGCAGGTAACTGAAGTGGTCACATGGTGACAGGAGACAGCACTGCATTCCATTCACTTCTATGGAGTTTGCTCAGTGAGGAGACAGTCACTTACACTGATCCCAATGAGCGAACAGTATAATTTGTGCATGTGAAATTTATAGCTTGTACATGCAGACATGAACACACGGGCTAGCGATGTTGCACAAGAAAGTCTTTGAAGGCCACAGACCAAAACAAACTATATTCCGTTATTTACAGCTTTGTCCGAACTCAGGGGTCGCATCCTTCGAAGGCCGGATTTGTAGCCCCGTTATATCATAGTGCGGCAATCCATTTGGTCTGTTCTCCAAATGCAGCCGACTAATACATCCTTCTTTTCTCCAGATTTAAATGTTGGTCTAAGGGTCAGGCGTATCCTTCATAGCCTATACTATTCCATGATTCATTGTGGGTCCAAACTGAATGGGTATTCGGCCAAAGTGGCCATCGCAGTAAAGAGTGGCAAATTATTTTGCCATGTACCCCCTTGATGTTATTGATTATATGCGGAAATTTCAAGCATGCGCATAACAATGGAGGGCAAAAAGACTATTCTTTTCATGCCATCCATAGCTACGCTGCCGCAGTAGAACAATTTTGTTCACTAAATGAAGCCTGGAGATGTAGGTATGAATAATTTAGTACAGTGTGCCAAAACAAAGGGAAAAACGGCGCAGAAAAACATTAAAGAATGACTCAAAATCACGTTTTTCTTGCTCTCTGTGTTTGATATGTTACACGCAGACTTGTTGCCATAGCAAGGTAAGGTCATTTTAGTTAGCACATTTTCAGCAACAAGTGCTTTACATGAATTAGAATGAAATAGAAACAAAGCAAACCAAACAAAACAAACAAAAAAAAAAAAAAAAAAAAAAAAAAAAAAAAAA